TTAATGTTTATATTTGGTAATTTTTAATTTAATTTTAAATTTTTTTCCTTAATTTGTTATTTGTTATTTGTTAAATTTTAATTTGTTAAATTTTTTATTTTAAGAAAAAAAAGTCATAAATATTATTTAAATAAATAAATAATTTCAAAAACATTACAAATTAAAAAATGTAAATTTCAAATTAATTACATTATTACTAATATTTAAATCAATATCAATTATAATAAAAAATGATAAAAATTAAAAATCACAAAAAGACAACATATTAAATTTAAATTAAAAAACGAATCAAAACTTAAAAAAATACAACAAATAATTAAATAATAATTCATATTGAAAAATAAAATATTAATAAATAGTTATAAATTCAAAAAATTAACAAACAAATTTAATTTTAGAAATTAGGAAAAATTAATTAGATTAAAAATACTATTTAAATAAATATCAAATATATAAAAAATACAAATAAAAAATATTAATCGCAAAATATTAGGTATTTAAATAAACTAATAAAAAAATAAAATACAAATCAAATTAAAAACAATTAAATATACTAAATCAAAGAAAAAGAAAGAAAGAACGATACAAAATCTCTTCCTGCAATTTTCAATTTTCACTTGCGGCTTAAATGAGTCGTACTTCCAAGTATAACTATTGTAGTTCTAACTGCGGCGTGGTATAAACCGCGTTTCCAACTGTGGTACGGTATGAACCACACTTCTAACTACGATTATCGCATTTCTAGTAGCTTAACCGCACTTTCAGTGTGACAACCTCTACAATTGTTCTTCTTGCCAGCGTGTTCTCAATTACTACGTCTCAACCTTCGTTCCATCTAATCCAAAAATGCTTCCAATCCAACCCAGTACCAACATCCTTTCAACCACTGCAGTTAAGACCTAGACTTTCGTCTATTTTAACATAGACACAATTAGAATAATAGAAAAATATGAAGGTGCAGGGTGAGACCGGTGAGGTGCAGGAGAACCACTCTTAAATTAAGTATACATTTGTGTTTATAGTTTAGTAACTTTTTTGTAAAAATCTATTTAATTATTATTATTAAAGAAAGCATCAACGAGTGGTCTCCTTCTGAAATGTAGTGTGCGGCTGCAAAAATGGCCTTTTAGTCATTTACCAACACAGATTCGAGTAATAAAATTACGAGAATTTATTTTAAGAAAATAAATACGTATTTTACTATTTTTGTCATATTTAATGAATTATTCAGTTGCCAACAAATTTTTCACTGATAATTAATATTTTTATAGAAAAAATGCCTTACTTTTAACAATTTGAACAAATTACACAAAAAGTAGTGAAGGAACCCCTTTCAAATCTATATTTAATTTTTCTTTTTTAATTGAAGAAAAAATATAATATATATTTAATTCTATTCCATAAATTATTAGATCTAAATTGGTCTTTGGAAAAGAGTTGTTAAATAGTCTATGAAAATTATAGTTTTGAAANGTTAATAAACTCAAATATAACAAATACTAATTAAAACACAAAAACTAATTAATAAACCAATGATATTAAAAGACTAAATTATAACATAAATATTAGAGCTGTCAAAACGGATAACCTGGCCTGACCCAACCCGACCCACCACGGGTTGATCATTTAGTGAGCAATCCAACTCGGCTCATTTATTAGCAAGCCGAAAAAATTTGAACCCGACCCGACCCACCACAGGGTTGGTGGGTTAAACGGGTTGGCTCACTTAACTTTTTTTCACCCTCTTCTTCTGAGATTGTTATAACATAAAAGAAAATGAAACAAAAGAACTATATTGTTATATATTCTAAGCTATCAAGCATAAAATTTTTGCCAATTTAGTTTAATGAGACATACACAACCGTTTAACTAAGAAACTACCGTTTAACCAAGAAACTACATATAGCCGTTAAAAAAAAAATATATAGCAGAGGGGAACTTTTGGATAGACAAAAACACAATGGAGCACGAAAAGCTCTACTGCAAAGTAAAGATTGTGTGTTTTGAATAATTAATTTAATTAATTTAATTTCAATAAAAAAAATAGGTGGATTAGTTGGTTCACCACGGGTTGGTGAATCGGGTTCTTAGCGAGCGGATCAAAATTGGTTCGCATCAAAATTTTCACATTTTTTTTCAACTCAACCCGACTCAAACCCGTGGTGAGCCGGGTTAGCTCACCGGTTGAAACCCATTTTGAAGATACTAATAAATATACATCCATAGACTACAAAATAAATTAAAATACTTTTTAAAATTTTTGAAAACTAAAGAGAGTTACTTTTAACCTAGTTTTTATTATTGTTCAGATTATTGTGTCTAAGACTTATAAAATCAAACAATTACATTAGTTCGTAACGCCAAAGATAAGAATAATAGACTTGATACGAGTCTAACAATAACTTGTAAATACATCTATGGATGTAAATCAGGTTCATATTATTGAAAGAAATATATCATATCAAAATATATGATAATGCATTTAAGCAAGAACATATAATGAAATGACTATTACATCAAGACACATTTAATTATTAGAACTAATGTTTTTTTTTTCTTTTTTGGGTTTTGAATTATTAAAACCCTTTCAATTTATAGAATATGTGATAAATTTGATTATTGTATATTTTAATCATTAGGTGGAAAAAAATTTATACATAGTAAGTAATTTATGTTGTATTTAGAATTAAGAAACTAGTTATTTTTTATTTCAAGAAAATTATTAATTATACTGTATATTTTATTATTTTGTATTTGTTTTAAGAAAATAATATTATATTATTAACGAAATTATTTGTTATTTGCTATACTTAAATTTTGTTTTAATTATTAATATGAAGTTGTCGCCGTTGTTAATATAAAATTATTATTCTTAATTTAAATTATTACCATCGTGGTTAAAATATTTATTATATATCAAAATTTAAGAGGTGATATTTTAAGTATACAAATTTTATTGTTAAAAAAAATATAATATTTATACGAGAAAAACATGCGTGATTTTAATTTACGAAATACAATGTGAAAGTTAATGAAGTAAAAATTAGTAAAAAATATTATTTAATTTTTTTTTTCCTAAAAGTTGATTGATGAATTAATTAAATTAAAAGCATTCCTCCCTACATTTCACTCACCTCCCAATTGACAATTATACCCTTCATTTAATAAAATACAAAAAAGTGTAATAATAGTTTAATAATTTTTCAACCACCACTCATCCTTAATCCTATGCTATTGTTTAGTGAAGTCACGCACATGTTTTACCTGCGCACCTCCCAATTTTCTATTTATTTAGAATTTAGTTTAGAATATTTTTTGTTATTTTGTATTTATGGTTTACATTTTGTTATGGGTTAATTTTTTAATTTTCTTTAATGTTTATATTTGGTAATTTTTAATTTAATTTTAAATTTTTTTCCTTAATTTGTTATTTGTTATTTGTTAAATTTTAATTTGTTAAATTTTTTATTTTAAGAAAAAAAAGTCATAAATATTATTTAAATAAATAAATAATTTCAAAAACATTACAAATTAAAAAATGTAAATTTCAAATTAATTACATTATTACTAATATTTAAATCAATATCAATTATAATAAAAAATGATAAAAATTAAAAATCACAAAAAGACAACATATTAAATTTAAATTAAAAAACGAATCAAAACTTAAAAAAATACAACAAATAATTAAATAATAATTCATATTGAAAAATAAAATATTAATAAATAGTTATAAATTCAAAAAATTAACAAACAAATTTAATTTTAGAAATTAGGAAAAATTAATTAGATTAAAAATACTATTTAAATAAATATCAAATATATAAAAAATACAAATAAAAAATATTAATCGCAAAATATTAGGTATTTAAATAAACTAATAAAAAAATAAAATACAAATCAAATTAAAAACAATTAAATATACTAAATCAAAGAAAAAGAAAGAAAGAACGATACAAAATCTCTTCCTGCAATTTTCAATTTTCACTTGCGGCTTAAATGAGTCGTACTTCCAAGTATAACTATTGTAGTTCTAACTGCGGCGTGGTATAAACCGCGTTTCCAACTGTGGTACGGTATGAACCACACTTCTAACTACGATTATCGCATTTCTAGTAGCTTAACCGCACTTTCAGTGTGACAACCTCTACAATTGTTCTTCTTGCCAGCGTGTTCTCAATTACTACGTCTCAACCTTCGTTCCATCTAATCCAAAAATGCTTCCAATCCAACCCAGTACCAACATCCTTTCAACCACTGCAGTTAAGACCTAGACTTTCGTCTATTTTAACATAGACACAATTAGAATAATAGAAAAATATGAAGGTGCAGGGTGAGACCGGTGAGGTGCAGGAGAACCACTCTTAAATTAAGTATACATTTGTGTTTATAGTTTAGTAACTTTTTTGTAAAAATCTATTTAATTATTATTATTAAAGAAAGCATCAACGAGTGGTCTCCTTCTGAAATGTAGTGTGCGGCTGCAAAAATGGCCTTTTAGTCATTTACCAACACAGATTCGAGTAATAAAATTACGAGAATTTATTTTAAGAAAATAAATACGTATTTTACTATTTTTATCATATTTAATGAATTATTCAGTTGCCAACAAATTTTTCACTGATAATTAATAGTTTTATAGAAAAAATGCCTTACTTTTAACAATTTGAACAAATTACACAAAAAGTAGTGAAGGAACCCCTTTCAAATCTATATTTAATTTTTCTTTTTTAATTGAAGAAAAAATATAATATATATTTAATTCTATTCCATAAATTATTAGATCTAAATTGGTCTTTGGAAAAGAGTTGTTAAATAGTCTATGAAAATTATAGTTTTGAAACATTTTAATTTTATATCAGTATTAGTTGAAACTTTTAACATTGTGTTTTAAAATCAATTTTTAACATTGATATTTTTAACATATTTAAAATTAATTTAAATTATTAAAAACTTTAAGATGGACTATTTGAGTTTTTAAACTAATTTAGTGATTTTTTTTTAAACATGACTACAGTGACAAGGCTTTTCAAATCGAGAGGGTTTTGTTTCTTCTTCGTTCATCTTCTATTCTCTCTGCAGCGCCTGGTCCCTCTCAGGCCTGGCCCCCAACGACGCCGCCACCACTGCGAAGCTGCCAAATCCGTGAAACCAGTGGTCGCCGTCCAGGTTGGCCCTCCGTTTTCATTTCTCACATCAAATCAGTGACTTAGTTTTTGTTTTTTCGGGGTTGATTTTTAATGTTTGGCACTCCGAATCTGATCCTTAAATTTGAGCTGACTCTGATTTGGTGTTCTTTATTACTGATTTGATACCGAATTTTGGCAATAGGTTGGTGCTGAAATTTTGATTTCATTCTGATTTTGTTTTGTGATCAATCCATGTCAGCTTTGATCATGGACTCTTGCATATTATTATAGATTCATACTGTCATTTGCATTGCAACTTGCTGCTTATAAGATTTTCTGTAGATTGCAGTGCTTATATTATAATCCAATTTCATGTTAGTCCAACCCTCAAGTTTCATCTATATCTGGAATTGAAGAAAATGCTTAAACACCACCAGAGGCAATTGATATAGTATTTTTAAGAGGTGTTTTTGCCTCGTGTGTAGTTAACTTTGAGTTACTCTTCAGCAGAGAAATTGTCCTTTTCTCTCCTATTTCGCCGCAGGATTGTGCAGGAGACGCGGTGACTACTGCTAACTGTATCATCAGTATAAATAAAAGGATCAGAAAGCATTATTTAGGAATTTCTGTTTGCACACATTTGGCAGTTTTTTTTTTTTTTTTCAATTGTTAAACGTCATGCACCGAAGAGCCCCAATCCCTCGTCTCCTCCTCAATAATGTCTCATGTATGAGAAATGCACAGCAAATTCTGCGTCATGTGAATGTGTCTCTCCATGATGGAGGGGCGCTTGTGCTAACAGGCGCAAATGGCTCGGGGAAGACAACTTTCCTGCGTATGTTAGCTGGGTTTTCTCGTCCTTCTGCTGGCGAAATACTTTGGAATGGCCATGACATACAACAATCTGCAATATTCCATCAGTATAAGCTTCAACTTAACTGGCTCTCTCTCAAGGACGCCATTAATGATAAGTTCACAGTTCTCAACAATGTACAATGGTTTGAACTTCTTGAGAACAAGGAAGGGAAGGCTTTGGCTGCAGTGGAATTGATGGGACTAGGAAAATTAGCTAATGAAAAACCAAGGATGCTTTCTATGGGCCAGCGTAAAAGACTACAACTTGCCAGGTTGCTCGCAATTGATCGCCCCATATGGTTGCTAGACGAGCCTTCGGTTGCATTAGACGATGAAGGAGTAAAGTTACTTGAGTATATCATCGCAGAACATAGGAAACACGGAGGAATTGTGATTGTGGCGACTCATCTACCCATCGAGATAGAAGATTCCATGTTTTTGAAACTTCCACCTAGGTTTCCCAGGAGGATGACCCACGTGGATATGCTTGATCGGGCGGATATCAGTTAAGGGCCTGTTTGGATGCTTCTTCTTGGGGCTTCTCTACTCACATAAGTTCGTTGTTGTTTAAAAATGAGGTTTGGATGTAGAATTTTTAGCTTTTGAAAAAGTCCAAAGCTCTTACTATAGCTTATTTAGTTTACTTATTGGTTTTAATCAGGAGCTGAATCTCGATCACATTGGTCTATTGATAATGTGAACTCTGTCTCTTGGTATATGTGCTGCATTTGAGAATGCAATTGGAAATGGTTTTCCAATTAGCAGATTTTTGCTTTATCTTGACTTGGAGTGATACATGCATGTTTTTCCTTGTTTATAAAGGCAGGTCAGGAAAATTGTTATGCTTTCTTAATACATGTAGTTAACACAGTAGACTGACGAACACAGGTTGTTTATCTGTCCCTACGGGGGTGATTGCTCTTGTTTGACCTCTGAATCCATTGGATTTTCATTTTCTGCAGAGGACTGAGGTTCAGCCTTTAACTTTTGACTCTACTAGGCCTTTTCCTCACTTGGCATTTGGAACCTGAACCCGCTAATTGCGCTTCTTCTACTTATCAACAGTATGAGGGTGTTGATCCTCTAATTCTATGGCTCTAGCATCCTTAATCTCCATATCTACAAAATCCTTCTCCTCAACAGATAACAGTGGTCGTTTATCGGTATAACTAAAGTAGATTGGTCAACAGGTTTCCCAGATTTAGAAGACCTATCATTATCAAGGTCCTTGAACTTTAAGGAAGATGATGACTTGCTACTGATACTGAAATCCCTTTCCTTATTATATAGCTTGTCCAGCCTTCATATTAAGAACGTCCTAGTTGATGATGTTGCTGTGCATCATCGCAGTTGGCTTCTCCATTTTCCCTGTGCGTGCTCTAGCAGATACACCAACAACAGAAATCGTTATGCAAAGTAAATTTAACCATTCACAATCACATAATGAAAACACACAGAAAATCGGAGTAGAATGACTGTGAAAAGAAACTTAATAGTAATAAATATACTAATTTAGAAACGCAAGCAATATCAATAAACATACTAGTCACTTAACAGTGAAAAGAAAAAAGAAATGAAGAGGTCAAAATAAAGGTTGAAGGTAGAGTTGAAGTGATAAAGCTAACAGAACTATGTGGGGAAGTACGTACGTCAGAGAAAAATAATTTTGTATCTCTTGTAAGTGTTACACACAGTTTGCATTCAATAGAAACCCAAAATGAACAAGATTGATTTCAACATTGTAAGAAACATACATATGCATTAAGAATGTTACCGTGAGCGATGTTACAGCAATGTGATTGTAAGATATGAGAGTTGATGACGATGTCTAGAGTTCCGAAGCAAATAAGAGAAATGGCAAGAGTGATCTCTTTCATTGTTTGCTTGTTGCTCTAAACAAATATCGGTTTCATCATTATGTCCTCATTGAAAATGGATTAGGAGTTATCCACATCTATCTCTCTGTGCTCTTGGATATTTAGATGTGGCTAAGGTTTTCAAGATTTACGACAGAAACAGGAGTTGTGTGTGTTTATTGAATTCTACTTTGCCTTCTGTTAAAGTTTCACCTCTCTTTGCACACCTGTCAACTTTCTGGTAATGGTGATGGTGATGATATTCATTATGCATGAATGATCATCTTATGGAATGTAATATTTCTTCTATCAACCTCTAATATCCAATATCAAATAAATTATAATTTAAAGAAATTTATATAATATTTTTATTTAATATGATTTTGAAATTTAATTTAGAGTTTGAACAACACTTCTATCACAATTTTTGTTCATAAATTTTAGCTCATACATATTATTTCCTTTTTCAACTATTCACAGTAGTACAATGGAAAATTTGAAAGAAGATCAAAGCAGAAGGCTGTTCAGTAAAAAAGAAGCTTAAGAGTAATAAATATACTAATTTTGAAACGCATGTAATATAAATAAACATAACAGTCACTTACCAAAGAATAGAGAAATAGAAAACAAAGAGACGAAAAGAAGATCTATACATGAAGTAGTCGAGAAAATAACTATGCAGGATGTACATTGGAGAGAGGGAAGGCTTTGTATCCCTTGTAAGCGTAATATGCAATCCGCGTATAGTAGAAACCCAGAATGAGCAAAACTAATCCCAATATCGTAAAGAACATACCTATACATCAATGATTCAATTAACATGAAATTAAAAAATAAAACAATTAACTAGTTCTTCATTCTGAAAAGAGATGTTACCGTGAGCGACGTCACCGCCGATCTGATTGTAGGACATCAGAGAGCCGACGATGATGCCTATGATTCCGAAGCCGATGAGAGAAACTGCGAGAGCGATATCTTTTATCGGTTGCTTGTTGTTGCTGCTTTCCATGAACGCGGTTTTCATCATCGGGTCCTCATCAGAAATCGAGAAGGCGTGATCCACGTACATTTTTCTCACCTCTCTTTCTTCTTATGTTCTTCGGTTTCAAATTTGGCCAAGGTTTTTCAACATTGTTGGTAGAAGAAAGAGTTGTATATGTTTATTGAATTTAACTTTGCTTTCTATTACATTCTCTACGCACTTGTCAACAATTTCAGTTTCGTTTGGTTGGGTTAGGTTCGCTTTTGGTTCGGTTGGATTCCGTTTGGTTGGGTTGAGTTTGGTTGCGTTGGGTTCGGTTGGAATCAGTTGGGTTTATTTTGGTTGGGTTGGGTTGAGTTTGGTTCATTTCAGTTTGGTTCGGTTGAATTGGGTTGGATAGAGTTAGGCTGGGTTGGGTTGGGTTGGGTTGGGATAGGTTCAATTCAGTTCAACTCAGTTGGGTTAGGTTCGGTTAGGTTTGGTTGGGTCGAGTTGGGTAGGGTTCAGTTGATTTCGTTTGGGTTAGGTTCGGTTGGGTTTAGTTGGGTTGGATTGGGTTCAATTAGGTTTGGTTGAGTGGGGTTGAGTTGTGTTCAGATGGGTTGGTTTGGGTTCGAGTCGGTTAGGTAGGTTGGGTTAGGATGGGTTCGGCTCGGTTCAGTTAGGTTCGGTTGGATTGGGTTGGGGGGGCCTGTATTTGGTTGTGTTGGGTTTGGTTGGGTGGGGTTAAGTTCGGTTTGGTTCGATTAAGATGGGTTGGTTTGGGTTGGGATCGCCTGGGTTCGATTGGGATGGGCTGGATATAAAATTAAATAAGAGGTACCAAACCAAACAAAACAAAACAAAATCGAATCGAATCCAACACAACCCAACCAAACCCAACCCAACACAACTGAACCGAATCGAACGGAACCAAACCCAAGCCAACCCAACTGCACTCAACCCAACCAAACTTAACAGAACCCAACCCAACCTAACTGAACCCAACCCAACTGAACCCAACCCAACCTAGCTGAACCCAACCCAAACTAACTCAACCTAACCGAACCGAACCGAACCGACCCGAACCAAACTCATCCCAACTAAACTGAACTGAACCGCACCGAACCCAACCCGACCGAACCCCACCAATCGAACCAAACCCAACCGAACTCAACCCAACCGAACCGAACGAAACTGAACCGAACCGAATCCAACCCAACCTAACACAACTGAAGACAACAGAAACAACCCAACCCAACTAAACCCAACCCAACCAAACCATACCTAACTCAACCCAACCCAACATAGCCGAACCTAACCCAACCTAACCCAACTCTTTCTAACCTAACCAAACCCACCGAACCTAATCCAACCCAACCGAACCTAATCCAACCCAACCGAAACCAACCGAACCAACATAACCCAACCCAACGCAACCCAAGCAATCTGAACCCATCCCAAACGAACCCAACCCAACCCAACCAATCGAACCCAACCAAACCCAAGCGCACCGAACCCAACCAAACCCAAACCAACACAACCCAATCCAATCCAACCTAACCTAACCCAACCCAACCCAATCCAATCCAACCCAACCCAACCCATCCCAACCGAACCCAACCCAAAGCAACCGAACCCAACCCAACTGAACCGAATTGAACCTAACCGAACCCAACCCAACCTAAGCCAACCGAACCTAACCGAACGCAACCCAAACCAACACAACCGAACGCAACCCAATCGAACCCAACCCAACACAACTGAACCCAACACAACCCAAACCAACCCAACCGAAACGAACCTAACCCAACACAACCGAATCGAACCGAACTCAATCCAACACAACCGAACCGAACCCAACTGAAACGAACCTAACCGAACGGAACCCAACCCAACACAACCGAACCCAACCCAACCCAATCTAACCCAACCCAACCCAATCGAACTCAACGAACCGTACACAAACCAAATGAACCCAACCCAACGCAACCCAATCGAATCAAACCGAATCAAACCCAACCCAACCCAACCGAATCGAACCCAACCCAACCAAACCCAACCGAACCGAACCCAACCCAATTAAATCGAATCGAACCCAACTGAATCGAACCGAACCCAACCCAAC